GTGCTTTCCTCACTGAGCTTAATCATTTTTAGTTTTTGATTTAAAGTGAGAGACATGAGACTCTTCTGTTCACTTGAACACTTGGGGGCCACTGCAGGGTTTTTTTAAATTAAATTAAATTTATTTTTTAATTGAAGTATTGTTGATTTATAATGCTGTGTTAGTTTTGGGTGTACCGAAAAGTGATTCAATTATACATATACATGTGTATATTCTCTTTCAGATTCTTTTCCATTATAGATTATTACAAGATACTTAATATAGTTTCCTTTTGCTATACATTGGTCCTTGTTCATCTGTTTTATATGTAGTAGTGTGTATATGTTAATCCCAAACTCCTAATTTATCCCTTCTCCCTACCCCTTTCCTGTTTGGTAACCATAGTTTGTTTTCTATGTCTGTGAGTCTATTTCTGGTTTGTAAATAAGTTCATTTTTGTCATTTTTTTAATGATACCACATGTAAGAGATATCACATGATATTTGTCTTTGACTTACTTCATTTAATATGATGATCTCTAAGTCTGTCCATGTTGCTGGGGGCAATTACTTTATTCTTTTTTATGGTAAAGTAATATTCTATTGTATATATGTATACATATATGTACACACCACATCTTCTTTGTCCATTCACCTGTCAATGGACATTTAGGTTGCTTTTATGTCTTGAATGTTGTAAATAGTGCTGCTATGAACGTTGGGGCTGGTACATCTTTTTGGGTAATAGTTTTGTCCACACTGCAGGGTTATTGGGCCTAATTTCAGTATTGCTGTGTCTCAGGGAATAGCGAGGCCTGAGGAGAGGGAGAGAGACAGGAAACAACAGGTCAATGGAATAGTCAGAACACAAACAACATTTATGGATTAAGTTGCCAACTTATAAGGGCGCAGTTAGTGTCACCTCAAAACAATTACAGTAGTAACACCAGAGATCACTGATGATGGGTCACTATAGCAAATATAATAATAATAACAAAAAGTTTAAAATATTGTGAGAATTACCAAAATATGACACACAGACATGAAATGAGCAAATACTGTTGGGAAAATGGGATTGATAGACACGTTTGATGCAGGGTTCCCACAAACCTTCAATTTGTAAAAATCTCAATACCTGTGAAGTGCAGTAAAATGAGGGGCAATAACATGGAGTGTGCCTGTAATACAGAAGTGTATAAAATAAGACCTCCAAGTTGTATCCTATACCCCCCTTTCAGTTCCCATGTCTTTGAAGCAGCAATGTTAAGTTTGCTATATGTCTTCCCCAGACATCTTTACTTTCTGAGTATACTCTTGCATATATCCAAAAACCCCACACAAATAGGGTTCTTTTATACTTAACTAATTCTGCTTTGCTTTTGTCACTTAATATTATAGGTATTTTCTATGGCCGTCTGTGTAGATTTATCTCATTCTTTTTTAAGATTATACTACATTCTCTGTTTGTATATTTCATACTTTAATCTCTCTCCTGTAAATGGAAATAGCAAGTCCTTTTTTTTTTTTTGCCATTGTGAATTTATCTTTAGGGTAAATTTCTTGAAGTGGAATTTTGGAGTAAAAGAATAAGTTTATTTAGAATTTGCTAAGTATTACCTAATAGCTCTTTGAAAGGCTCTGGCAACTTAATTTTTCAGTCAGGTTTGTGTATGTATGTTCACACTTCCACAATATTGAATTTAGCCTTTATGACTTTATTTACTTAAGGAGAACAGGTTGTTTTGGAACAGGAGAAGTAATCTTTCATCTCTGCGTTATATGTGAAGTGTTTAGAATAGTGTCTGAAACATAGTAAGAGCTATATAAATGCTATAGTTATTTTTGTTGGCTTAAGTCCATTATATTACATTTTGAAAATTGAAAATCTTTATCAATTTTTTCACATGTTTATTTTGAAAACCATCCATATCTGGACCTAAGATACTGTTAGTGTGTTGTTTGTTGTAATGCAATTCACCCTTAGATTTTTCTCTTTAATTGTCCAAATCAGTTTTACAAATAGTTATAATGGACTTAAAGGTTATGTATGCAGCACAAAGTGTAATTTGATTGCCTTGTTTTCACTGACATTCTGTTAACAGATTGTCAGTTATAGTACCATTTGCTAATCCTTGTTGTTACCTCCAGGTGATAAGAAAGGGTCAGTGACTTTAGAGTGTTTGTTGAAACATGAAAGTAATGATAAAAATGAGAATGTAAGTCTATACTTCTTCTAAACTTGTACAATGAAACTAGATTGCTGTGTAAATGTAAAGTATTCATGTATATATCCTTGAAGAAGTAAATCTTTGTGATAATTTAGAAGATATTTGAAAAGGGAAAGTACAAAGTCTATGACGACTGTCAACGTGATACTTGATTTCTTTAACCCTAGTTCTCTATGCATTTGGTGTTGTGAAACATGTTCATAGAATGTTCCCAAACTTTTGCAGTAGTTTTCAATAAAGCATAATAGTATATTAAAGTTTTTCCAGAATAACTTAATTAATAAACTTGTCATTATCATGTCATTAAATTCAGAGAAGTGATGAAAAGCATAGAGACATCTTTCAGTTTTACTCCCTGCAGTCACAGCAGATATGCCATATCATTTCTCTGAAATTTTAAAAACCAGCCACAAAGAATGGAAAAATTTTCTGAGATAAAGCTGAGTGAGCTATTGGCAAAATTCTTTTATCAATGCACCT